ACCGCTGCCGCCGTCGTTAGCGAAAGCGACGCGGAGCAGCAGCGCGCCGCCACGCCATTGAGCAACAGCGGCGCCCGCACTACAACTACCAGCACAAGTTTACCCAATACGCGCTCATGTCCGCTCAAGTTTTCCATAGCGAAAATTATGGAGCCTGATCAACGCGCCAATAGCGCTGAGTGCGTCAACGCGCACGAGGACGAGGATTCGGAGCGCTCATGCAGCCCCATCGAGGTCGCCAGCGATGAGTGTGAGTCGGAGCAGCGCGTCGAGCTGCTACCGTCAACAGCTGGTCAGCAACAATGCACCAACGCAAGCGCCAGCGAAAACTATGATTCCGCCTTTAAAAAGTATGTGCCCTCCTCCGCTGCGGCCGCCGCTGCAGCAGCCGCTGCCACTACTGCTACCAATGCCGCTGCCGTACAACAATTTGTGAGCACACGTCATCAGGAATTGATGTCGCAATATCCGTTGCTCTATTATGCGCCCAATCAGCTGATGTGCGCCGCCGCCGCCGCGCAATATGCTGCGCTCACTGCCGCACAACAGCAAACGCTGCTTGCCAATACCGGCGCTGCAGCGCATTTGAGCAGCTTTACCGCCTCGTTGAGCAGTTTTCACACGCAATCGCTGCGTCGCAACCTTAGCGCTTCTGGTCATCATCTGGCCGCTGCCGCGGCAGCTGCTGCAGCAGCGCAGGCACAAGCGCACCATGCACATCATCAGGCGCTTGCAAGCGCGCATCCACAGTTGCAGCAGACGTTGGAGAAGCATCATCAGCAACAGCACAAGTTGAGGGAAGGTGGAGCCAGCGCGGGCGCTTGTCATAGCATGAAACGTAAGCATAGCGCCGGAGTTGCAGCTGCCGCCTCGGCTGCCGCTTCCGCGAGTGCAGCTGCACAGCCAGCACCCGCATTGCATGAGCATGGCTCTTCACGCGCATCCTCGCCCACTTCACGCCACCTACGCTCGCCATCCCCCAACTCGCTAGACGACAGCCCTGGCTCTGCGGCGGGCAAACAGAAGACATTCTCCTGTCTGGAATGCGGCAAAGTCTTCAACGCTCACTACAATCTCACGCGTCACATGCCAGTGCACACAGGCGCCCGCCCGTTTGTTTGCAAGGTGTGCGGCAAGGGTTTTCGGCAGGCATCGACGCTGTGTCGCCACAAGATTATACACACCTCCGAGAAGCCGCACAAGTGCCAAACCTGCGGCAAGGCCTTCAACCGCTCCTCCACGCTGAACACGCACACCCGCATTCATGCTGGCTACAAACCATTCGTGTGTGAGTACTGCGGCAAGGGTTTCCACCAGAAGGGCAACTATAAGAACCACAAGCTGACGCATAGCGGCGAAAAGGCTTACAAGTGCAACATCTGCAACAAAGCCTTTCACCAAGTCTACAATCTCACCTTTCACATGCACACACACAACGACAAGAAGCCATATACGTGTAAGGTGTGCGCCAAAGGATTTTGCCGCAACTTCGACTTGAAAAAGCATATGCGCAAGTTGCACGAATTGGGCGGCAGCGACCTGCTCGACGATGATTCGCCGCCGAGCTTTGAACGCCGCCGCGAGTATACGCGTCGTGAATATACGCGCCGCGAAGCTCATCACAGCTACCACACACATCTGCAGCACGGCAGCCAATTGACGCCCGACTCATCCGCTGGTAGCTTATCGCCACCGATCAACGTCACCACCCCACCGCTCTCCAGCGGCGGAGGTGGCTGCGGCGGTGATGGCAGCAACTCCGCTTGGCATACGCCACAATATCAGACGCTCACCAGCGCGCAGCAGTCTTCAGCTGTTGCAGCAGCGGCCACAGCTGGCTATGCGCCGCATCACTTGCTGCCGCAAATGAGCAGCTCTTTTCGTGCATCTGCTGAGTATTCTGCCAGCTCGGCGTTCATACAACTCGCCAATGCCGCGTCGACTAGTGCAACGGCTGCTTTGGCCGCCAGCCCCAACAGCGCTGTGCAAATGATATCCGCCCACCAGCAGCACCAGCAGCTCCACCACCAACAACAGCATACGGCGGCTCACCAGCAACTCAATCACCACCACCAGCAGCATCATCACAATCCTAGTCACCATCATCCGCATCAGCATCACCAGCGTCTTTCGGCCGCAGCTGCCGTTTCAGCCATGGATCAGGTGCCCTTCATAGCGAAAGTGTTTTGACAGCGCTACTATGCGGACAGTTTGGCCACAACCGCAACAACACAGCATGCCGCCAGCGCACTGAGTTCTTCCTCGAAGAGCATACTCATCGATTGACTGCAGTTTGTAGCAGCCGCTGCGGCGGCGACAGCGACAGCAACAGTGACATCGTCGTCAACGGACGCGACAGCTACTTCGAGTTTTGCTGCGACGATGTCGTCGGATATGGAGGACGAAGAGGAAGCTGAGCTTCTTGTTGATGCTGTCGACGAGGTGGTCCAGCTTGATTTGACTCATTCGCCTGTGGAGCAGTTCGAAGAGCAGCGCACAGCATTGGGCACGGCCGTCGAGGCGCTCAATCGTCTACTCTGAACTGTTGATTGCGTCGCTGCGAGCCTGTGAATCGGTGGTTTCCAAACGAGAAAATGGTTTCATGATAGGGGCGCCAACGTCTCCTAACCTCCAACATATGATCTCCGCTAGGGCAAAAGTGTGCAATATAGCGTTCGAATGTGTGAAGCAATGCGAAAAGATATGCGAAAAATCTCGATCGGAAATTTCTTCAAATTTTAAGCTTGCCTTTTTTCTTCAACTCTGAGCAATAAAAATTTAGTCTTTGAAAGAGCAAGTGTAAATTTGCGCTAAGCAGGCGTTCGGGAGCATAACTTGCGGACACTCTTCTGCGAAAACAAAGATTTTTTAGCTCAAAATTTCCACTTCAAATTTCTGTTGTAAATATTATTCTTTAAGAGAGAGCGTTAAAACAACAAATGAAAGGGTAAAGAATAGGTTTTCGTTAGTTAAGTGAATGCACTAGTGTATATACATATATATTCGTAAGTATATGTTATATATATGTATACAGGTATCAATACCTAAATAATACACCTTATAATAAATGATATAATATATATAAGTACATACATATGTACACTAGGGTGCACCTCCAAAAAAAAATTGCGGTTTTTTCATCAAAATTGTAAATTTTATGATGTGAATTTTAAAACTTCCGCCATAATATTGCGATTTACGTGAGCTAGACCGATTAGAAAATACCTCCAAAAATCTTATAATTTTGATTCTGTTAATAAAATGTTTAAACGTTTTTATGCAGACCTTTTGAGCATACACTCTTCCATCATATGAGAAGAAATATTTAAAAAATAATAATTTTATTTATAAAAGTTGCGATCTTTGGCGATCAAGCTGATGTAAGTATGCACATTTTTTTCGAAATATTTTAGCGACTTAGACTTAAAATATAATAAATTTTATAATTCCGACGAAAAAGCAGAACCGATTTTTTTTTTGTATGGCGTGTGATACACCCTAATGTACATATGTATATCAACACAGAACTTACATACCTTCTACGCCCACGTACAATTCAATTTTAAATGTAGTAGTTTTAGTGAAATTATAAATTAGTTTTAGTTATAAAAAATTGTGAGATTTATAAAATAAAATTTAATTCAAATAGAAAAATAAAAATAAAAAAACAAAAATTATATAAAAGGATAATATATATATAGTATACAATTAATTAGACGACCTTAGACATTACTTATTTGAACTAGAATGCTGAATTGAATGTGTTTGAATTGAAATNTGCATATTTATGAAATTCTAAAATCACGTTGTTTTCTTTAAGTATACATGTATGTATATAGCTGACGGTTGTCGTCTTTTAGCACGGCTAGCGTGTCGCAGCTTTCTCAGATAGTTAGGTGGCCATTGAGTCTTTGAAGTCTTTTACAATAAAGTCCTAATCTAAAAGGGAGTGTAGAACTCTTCTAGACGCCGTAACTAGTCAGCTCAATCTCGATATAGTTTGGAGCGCTGATCGTCACAACATTTCCGGCAACGAGGCTGAAGACGAGTTCACCAGAGAACAATTGGAACCATATACAGAGAAATCTTTCTGCGCAAAAGTGGCGCATGGGCAGACCTGACGCTGCGAGGTTAACTATTAGCGATTCATTGGCCGGTTGGGAGCCGCGCCAAAAGGATTAGTATCGCTTACAACGACTTCTGTAGAAACTATAGGAACGAAAACGAACAGAAAACAGTAGAGTACTTTCTTTGCAGATGTCCAGCTTCAATGAGAAACAGAAACACAATTCACTCCACCGGTTTTTCTTGGATATCTTGATTTTTCGAATATCGATTAAACCGGATTTTTTAATAGAGCAAACCGTTTTTTTCATTTCATACAAATCTTAACCTCTCAATAAAAGTTTTGAGTTTTTCGAAGTTTTCAAGGCCTTTTCCAATTAAAGGGAAACCTCTAAATAGTTTTAAAATTGTATCCTAGGTTAATTGGGGATGATTATTATATCATATTTGATTCCAATAAATGAATGTTTGGCGTTTAAACGCTTTCTACCTGTTTGGCCGAGCTTCTTCTCCAGTGGACTTTCTGCTTCTTAATGTTGTGACACAGATGGAGAGCTTTTCTATGGACCATTGGTTATAACTTCATACCAACATAAGCATTGGTACTATATGAAAACTTCAAATAAAAATAAAACCGGTTTATCCGGGTTTTTCTAATTTCAAAATATGTTTTCCAAATTTTCGAATAACCCGAAAACCGGTCTTGAAAAAAATGGCGAATAATCGAACATCCTAGTATCTAATCTGTTAGATGGTTAATAACATAGACTGAAAAAAATTTGAATTGGAAAAAATAAATATGCTCTTAAAATGGGTTCGGTAAATGAAAGCTTGTAAAACAACAATCCAATATTGCTGGAAGGGACACAGCTAAAAACTGTTGAAGCGAATGAATTTATATGTAAACCATAACGGAGAAACAAAACTTTTGCCTAACATTAGAACTCTTCAGGCTCATTTAATATAAAATTCTCTAAGTTGCGATTTTTCTTGTTTTTTGTGAAGAATATTAAGTAAAACCATTTTATTTATTTTTATTTTTTTCTTGAAATTAGGAGCATTTTGAGAACCGTAAAGCCTACTCTTCGTGCCATTGTCGAAGTATGAAAGCAATCCCAGAAAACGTTATCTAAGTTATCTTCCGTTGATTTAAGAGGTACTTTTCAAAAACTCATATTCGAGTAGAGTCCGCACAGAGTTTTGCGGGTTATCTGAGTGACCTTCCAGGTACTTTGACTCCTTTAAGTAGTAAATAATATAGGCGCACCTTTTTCATTTTATCTTACATACAGATTAGGCCCTTTTCTCCGGCAGTTATGCTACTTTGGGACTCTTTCTGAAGACTACTAGTATCAGGAAACTCTTTAAGGAATGGTTAGGTTCAAGAATTGCGAGTTCTAAAAACGCTTCATTGAAGTAGTGCATTACAAGTAGCTCTACAAGACTATAAACGGTTGCTATCTATTAGATTACCTCCAATGAGTTGCGTTCTGTGAAAGCTGGAAGGTAAGCGGTAAATATTTTATTCGAGATTCACGGCTTACCTTCTAGATTACAGAATGCATGAATTTTCCATATGAAATACATTTTAATATAAACAGAAATCTATTTGAAATTTGTAAAACAGTAAAGACTGTGATGGTAGGGGATCAAGGCTTCCAAGATAGGACGCGAGATTGGGCCTGACTTCAACAAAACAGTCCAAAGGATCTGCTAAATGGACCAAGGGTAGACAACGCAATCTGCGGATGCAAGCGAGGAAACGTAACTTTTTTAAGATTTAAGATCTTCGGGGAGTACAATAATAAAATACCCAAGGGGTAAAACGACTTTCAAAAACTTATTAACGGCTCAAAGTTGTTCGACTAAAGCAACTAAAATTAAACTAAGAAACGGCAAATTGAACTCAAATTGAACCGTCATAAAAATTGGTCAGTACTACACAGACATAATGGCCAATCTGAGGTGAATATTGGTCAACTAGACTTAAACTTTGGACAGTGGGTGCCGAACTTCTCCTCGAAGCTAATTTTTCATGCGATCCAGTCCCAGGAGAGGCATATCACCACAGAGTGGTCAAGGGTGACGTTTATACCGAAGGCCGGCAAGAGCTCCCACAACGCTACCAAGGATTTCAGAAACAGTATTACTCTTAACCGCTTGCCAGAAGCTCAACATGCATACATAAAGGGTAGGTGGGTTGAGGCGATCGTGAAGTTGCTAGAAGCATCATTATTACACAAACACTCCAGTGCGGGAGGCTTTCTCGACATCGAGGCGGCTTCAAATGATGTCCTTCCGGGAGCCATTATCAGATCCCGTGGTAAGTTTGGGTTGACAGCGAATTAATTAAGCATATCTGTATGTACCGCAGGTCTCTTGGACCTAGAGACTCGATAATGTGCGAGTCTTAAACCAGCTACAAATGCTCTTATGACGGTTATTGCCCTATACACTAGGAAGTAGAAGATAGCACACGCGACTTTAAGATACATTTTTGGGCATTTTGCTTGCCACTTTCTGACAGAGCCAAGGGCTGCGGTCAGTTTTAGAAGCATGTGATGCTTTCATGGCTCGGGATCTCTATGCGCTAGTATTATTGTAAGTTCAAGCGGCCGGATCGAAGCCCGACGGGACTTTTGCAAGGACTTCTTTATTAACCAGTGAAGTGTTTGACGTGCTGAGGTAGCCGCCATTAAACAAGCAGTCGATTGGCGACTATTGGAAAAATACTTTTTACCAGGTTTGGAACGATACTTTAAAACATTTTTGTTCTCTATTCGCAAGTATAACTGGAAAGGCTTTATGGAGATGTAACTCTCGCAGATATAGAAGGGAATGGAACTCGCCTGTACAAGGCATAATTACAACCCGTGGAAAAATTATAAGCGCAAGCGCAAGTTTGACAAGTTTTAACAATTTATTTTTTTATTATTTAATTTATGTACATTTTCATTAAAAATTGGTTTATTATTTAGCAAAAATCGTATAAATCCAAATCTAAGACTAAGTGCAATATTAAACAAAATTCAAAATTTTTTCTTCAAAAGTTTAAGATTTTTAATTAGATTCTTTAAAAAGATTTTGAGTATGCAGTTTCTGTTTCCATTTAATTCTACTATAATAGAGTGCAAGTTTAAATTACCTAGGACTTACCATTGATTTTTGGTATTTTTTTTTCTTTGTTGAAGGTGCTGCTCATATAAAAAGATGGCCATGTTCGTCTTTTTAAATATAACTGAAAAATAGTTACATTTATGGTACAGTACGTATATTGGTTAAATTTTTGCGGCTCCAGCAAATGATAATTACATTACAACAAGTACAAAATTTCAGTCAGAAATCTCAAAAGCTGAGGCACTAGCTTGCATTCAAACAGACACTTTCGTTACCATAACGCAGAAAATAATGACATCTAATTATTTGGATGCTGCTTTAATCGTGGTACTGCGTTTATTAAGTGTTGCTTTTATTGAGGGCGTACTGTTAACAAAATAAATAAATTGTTAAAATCTGGCAAATAACTCACATATTTATTAGGCTACTAACATATTTTGTAATGAGGGTGTACTAAGCATTATAATAAATATTATATGTATAGATACATATGTATGTATGTATATATGTACATGTTAATTATAATTAATTAACCACGAATATTTCAAGCATCTACATACTTAGTTTAGCATTTGGCCACTTCAGACGTGGGCGGGCTGAAAATTATGCATTCATTGGCAGTCTATAGCATTCAACATGAAGTTGTAGACGCTTTGCATCTTTTCTTTAGCCGTACGTATACCTATGTATTATAATGGTAAACCTTGCCAACATTTGTAGCCCACTTCTAGTGTTCACTGTAGCTTTTTTCTCTTTGAAATTTCCATCCTTACCACTTCGCCATTTTTTTTTTTTTTTTGGTGGAAGAGACACGGTAGCTTTTTTTTGAAAAATTTTAGATATGTCTATGTATCTTTATTGTATACCATACATATACATATGTCTGCACATTTTCATAACCTTTGTGTCTCCATTTTCTTATTTAACTTAGAAATAAAAGTGCATGCG